TGCAACATTGTTCCTCAATAAATTCTCCAGAGTAAGAATAGTTAGGAAGTAGAAGTTTGAGAACAGGAGTACTGTCTGAATCTGAAACACTGTAACATTTAAATGTTTGGGAAATGGTGGTAGAAACACTAAAGAGTGTGATAAGAAATGATACAGGGCCAGGCATGGTGGCTCAGGCCTGTAATCCCAACACTTTTGGAGGCTGAGGCAGGCCGATCAAGGAGGTCAAGAGGTAGAGATCATTCTGGCCAATATGGTGAAACCCAGTCTCTACTAAAAATACAAAGATTAGCTCGGCGTGATGGCCCGAGCCTGTAGTCCCAGCTATTCAGGAGGCTGAGGCAGGAGAATTGCTTAAACCTGGGAGGTAGAGGTTGCAGTGAGCCAAGATTGTGCCACTGCCCTCCAGCCTGGTGACAAATTGAGACTCCATCTCAAAAAAAAAAAAAAAAATTGCGTGTGTGTTGGGGGGTTAGTTTTCACATACAGTACAGGGACTGTCAGTTATCTAGCTAGGAATTCAAACCACAGGTATTGTAACCCACATTATTATCAGAAGGCTATACTCTAAAGGACATTATAATAAGACCTTTAGCTATTTTAAAAATCTTAGATTAATAATAGGAACTCTAAAGCATCATTGAATGAATGCAAGAAATTTTCCACTAGGAAAATTAAGGGTACTCAAAATAGGTGGAGGTATATTAACTGCCTAAAATATTTTAAAGAAATCCCACACTCTTATTTGGACAAGGTATAACAGCCAAAGGAGCTTTTCAGCCTTTACTTTTTGCAATGGTTCCAAAGGCATGAGTCCAAAATAATGTCTGTGTTTGCACAAATCTTTTATAGACTGTGTAGTCAGACTCCATAAAAGATAGGAAATTGGGACTTCATTATGTTTTCAAAACAGTCTTTATGACTTCTTTGTATCTACCTGCTAATAAATGTGTGTGTGTGTATACATATAAATATGTGCATATATGTGGTATACAAAAATATATAAGTGACTGTGTATTTGTACATACATTCATTATGTATGTATAATAAATGAACATTCATATATAATGTATGAATTTAGTTTCAGACTTACTTTCTTTGTAACCTGGTAGAAACATTTTAGGTAGAGTTGCCAGCCCATAACTATCTCCAATAATTGGCAGATAACACTATCCAATAGAAACTCAGTGTTGAGCATTCATTGACTTAGGCCAGTTTTCCACAGTGTGGTCAGTGATGTAGCATTGTCTTGGGAGATAAGAAAAATACAAAATGTCACAAAAATAACAAACCGAAACCAAAACAATGTTTCAAACATGAAAGTAGAGTCATCTTGGTCAAATGTGGCAATTTGCTAATAAGAGGAGGATGAGATTGATCTCTGGGTTAGCAACATGGAAGTCACCGCTAATGTTAATAAAACGTTTGTTTTTGGAGTGACATAGATAAAAGTATGATTAGAATAGACTCAAGAAAGAATACGAGAGTAGGAAATGCAGACCATAAGAACAGACAAATATTCCAATGAGGGTTGCTGTAAATAGGAGCAGAAAAATATGATAATAGCTGAAGGGGACTGGAGCTGTGGCAAATGTCTGTAAAGCTAGAGGAATTATAGCAAATTTGAGAGGATAAAATAATGGTGCAGTAGAGAGAGAAGATAATTTTGGGAGCAATATCTTTGAGAAAATGAGGAAACAGGGTCTCATCAGGGCTGATATTCAGCAGGCACGCACAACCAAAGCAATAATGATTAAGATGCTAATATACTTTCAGGACAGTTTATAAATGATTGCCCCTTGAGTGCTCCCACCCCCTCCCCTTTTCCCTTGGAAGTTGCTGGACCTGCCCACCATCCAGAAACTAAAGGATAACAACTTGGGGTTGCCTTTGTGGAATTTGATAGTTTTCAAACTGGAGTTTTTATTTCTCATGACCAATGCTTCCCTACTCCAATCCATGTATTTTATTGTTACCAAATTCTCCATATAAAAGTAGAAAATGTATCACGTAATTCTCCATTTAAAAAAAAATCAATTAACAGCTTCATATTGTCTTACAAATCAAATCTTTATTTCTCACGATGGTGTTCAAGTTGATTTGATGCTGAATTACTTGTTTGGGATCTGCCCCAAATTAGGGGTCTGTATCCTTTCTGAGAAGTCTTATGCTTTCTTTTTTATTGCAAAATGGACATTTCAGGACAACAAAATGTAGACTTGTTATAGAAATTCACCCTATGTTCATTCTCCATACAATAAATACTCAAAAGATCCTGGCTATTCCCCATGTTACTTTCAGTCCTTTGCTAGAAGTTGCCTGCCCTGTAATGCTGAGTTTTAATTGTTTGCTCAGGTTGTGGACCTATACAGAACACGTGTGGAGTTGGCGAAGGAAAGCACAACTCTGCGATGGATTTCCAGGCCATCTGCTCTAGCACCTGAAAGGGGCTCCTGGTTCTTTTCCATTACATTGTCTATTAAAAGCAGCTGATTCCCTAAACAATCGCTGTAACTATTACATATGTTTTCATTTTTACTCTAGTCCAGAAATGTGGATATTTTTAAGGAAAAGAAAGCAGTAACCTTTTGGCATATTTTACTGTAAGGTTCTATGTAGGAAACAGAAGGTGCACTAAAAATGGTTTAATTGAAAAGAATGTAATGAAGAGACTATTTACAGAGATACTAACTGGGTTAAGAGAACGAGGGAGGCTGGGCACAGTGGCTCATGCCTGTAATCCCAGCACTTTGGGAGGCCGAGATTGGTGGATCACTTGAGGCCAGGAGTTCGAGACCAGCCTGGCCAACACGGCAAAGCCATGTATCTACTAAAAATACAAAAAATTAGTTGGGCGTGGTGGTGTATGCCTGTAATCCCAGCTACTGGGAAGGCTAAGGCACAAAAATTGCTTGAACCTGGGAGGCAGAAGTTGCAATGAGCTAAGATCCTGTTGCTGCACTCTTGCCTGGGGAACAGAGTAAGGCTCTGTCCAAAAAAAAAAAAAAAAAAAAAAAAAAGGAACCAGGGGACAGCATTATAACTCTAGGCTGAAGGGGAACTGGAAAGAAATCATCTTATTAGAGACCCATGACAGCTGAAGTCATAGAAAAGAGGCTCTAGACAGGTCTTGCAGTCATAGAGGGACAGGATTGTGGCCAAAAATGTGGCTTGAAAAAAAGAACAGTCTGATATTTCTCTTCTCCTTTCTTTTGATTTTCTGCCAGCATTTCTCATTGGTCAGTCCCAACAGGAAGCCACAGGTCAAGGGGGCCTAGTGATTGATCTATAGGTGTCAGCATCCAAGGGCATGGCTTTGTAGATAAGTAAAAACAACAGATTTGGGGAGGGAAACAGAAAATACTGCTGTTATAAATATTATCTATGACCACAGGAAGTTAAAAAATTTACTAGATTGCAGGACAATTACAAGTAAAAATCTCCACAAACCTACCTTTTTAATACCACTTCCGCCTTATTCCCATATTTAACTTACTGAGGGTTATCTCTGCCTAGCCCTGGGGTGGGTAAACTTTTTCTGTAAAGCATATTTTAGTCTTTGAGGCTTAAGAGGCAAGGTTGAAAATATGATGTCCTATTTATATAATGATTTGAAATGTAATTCTTTGAACACATGAAAAGCAGTCATTCAAATTAATTGCGCTGCATTGGCCTGTGGGCTATACTTTGCTACCCTCTGGCCTTGAAAGTCTTCTAAATTTTTGCTAGCCTAAAATCCACCTACTTTTCAATGTGAAGTTCAAATAAAACCTTTCTGGCCAGGCGCGGTGGCTCATACCTGTAATCCCAATGCTTTGGGAGGCCAAGGCAGGCGGATCATGAGGTCGAGATCGAGACTATCCTGGCTAACATGGTGAAACCCCGTCTCTACTAAAAATACAAAAATTAGCTGGGTGTGGTGGCGCATGCCTGTAGTCCCAGCTCCTGGGGAGGCTGAGGCAGGAGAATCGCTTGAACCAGGGAAGCAGAGGTTGCAGCGAGGCGAGATCCAGCCAGAGCAAGACTCTGTTTCAAAGAAAAAAAAACAAAAAAAAACCCAAAAAACAAAAAAACACAAATCCCCCCTATATGGCCTCTCATACTGGGACTCTGAGCTGTGAGTCAAAGTTGTCACAGAAAAATAGTTGACAGAAAAATCAACTATTACTAGCTTAAGCAAAACAGGATAAGCTGAGAGTTTGCTGGTTGTAGATCCCAGAATGCAGGAGCTGCAGAAATGCCAGCTGCTCTGGGGATATCCTGCTTTGCTACTGTGGTAACATCAGAACATGACCTCTTCATCTCCCTTTCTCTTCTCTTTGCTTGTCTTCAGTTTGGCTTCATCATCTACTAGAGGCAGATCTTTTCTTTTCCACAGGAAATAGAATGTGTATCTCCTTATGTACTAAGCCAAGGAAAGTATTTTGTTTAACGTGTTTGGGTCACCCAGCCACCCTTTGATGAACCCGTGTCGGTGATGGAAAGGGGTAGAGTGATGTGGTAGTATTGAGGTTCAGACAGGGCACACGTTGGGAGAGAGGCTCACCTTTGAAGAGCGGGAAAAAGAGGCAATTTCCCAAAAGGAGGGTGCATTCTGTTGCCAGGAGATGAAACAGGAGAGGTTGTCTGTTTTAGAGAGATAGAAATGTCACAGTTATAGTCCAATGTGTGCAGCGCTGTAACAGAGATAAGTCTGACGCCTCTTTATCACCCCCAGTACCTAACATCACGCTTGCTAGACACATGCATGCGATTTTGATGAATGAATGACTCAGTTCTCCCAGCTGATTGTGAACACACCCTCTACTCCCAACTGGCCCGGAATTTTATAAGCTGCTCTTTGTAGGTTGTATTCGGGGTTGTTTATGGCCATCTATGATCTCTCCTCTAATTTCTGGTGCAAAAAAGAGTGTCTGAGACAGAGGCGGGCGTGCAGTCCACACCCTGTGTACATCTCCATCCCAGAACCAGACCACCTCATGCTGACGACACCAATCACTGGAACGGTTCTGTTTCGGGTGACCCGCGTGGCCTCTTGGTTGAGGCCTCTAGGATACAAAGCCCCCGCCTGCAGACCCGACCCTCCCTCGGGAGGGAGGCAGGGCCCGGGGGCGGGAGCGCAGCGGGGCCCCAGCCTCAGGCGCGTCACTGAGCACAAAGGAGGCAGCAGGGAGGCGGCGGCGGGCGTCGGTCCTCGCTCCCAGCCGCTCGCGGTTGCGGTTGCAGACCTGCAGCGCCCCCGCCCCCGCCCGCCGGCCTTTCTGTCCCCTCTCTCCCTCCGTACTGGACGGCCGCGGTGCACTTCCGGGCTCCGGATCGCCGGTGTCGATTGGGGCTGGGGGCGCGGAGCAGGTGGCAGCGGGGCCGCCACCCGGCGCGTCGGGGCCCGCCTCCCGCTGCTTGGGTCACCAGCCCCCGCCCGCCCCGCGCGCCCCGCGCGCCCCGCTCAGTTCCCCGGCCTGCGAGCGCTTCCCGCCGGACTTTGCGCCGCGTCGGGCGCTACTGCTGCGCTCGGGGCCCCGCTCGGCGCCGGCGTGAAAGGGGCAACCGGGACCCCGGCCCAATATGGCTGAAGTCAGCATCGACCAGTCGAAGCTGCCTGGAGTCAAGGAAGGTAAGGGCGGCGGAGGGAGGGAGGGAGCGCGGGCGCGCGGGACCCTCCCCTCTCCCCGCCGGAGGTTCTCTCGGGGCAGGGGCGTTGCCTCGTCGGCTCCCGCGGCCCTAGCGCGGCGCCAGCCTTGCGTGGGCCTGGCCTGGAAGGGAGGGGAGCTGAATTCAGGTTCCAGCGTGGGACCTTGGGCAAGTCACGGGCTTTTCGAGCCTGTTTTTTCTCCGGTAGGGGGGTTGGGGGAGACCAACATCCGCCCCGTCCACCCCCCAGCAAGTGGTTGTGCCCATGCTCTCGTGCAGGGCACGGCCCCCAGTGAGCGCTGAAGAGCCGGGTCAGGCTGACTTCACTGTGCTTGGAAACCCAGGCCCAGCCTGGCTGGCTGGGAGGCTGGGAAGTGGGGACGGGTTGACGTTTAGCTCCGTGTGGAGCCTTTGTTTTGAAACCTGACTCTGCCTCCTTCTCTCCCAACTTTTCCTAGGCCAGCGGCTGGCTGGCTGGCTGACTTTCCCACCTTCCTCAAAGTTGAAAAGTTTAGTCTTGGCTGTGCTCTGCGCGGGCGGGAAGGCACTAAAGCATTTTCTTAAAAAAAAAAAAAGTGAGCGAGGGAGCAGGGGACTGATGACCTTGTCATTGCTCTTTATACCAATGTCCAGGAAAATAGAGATTGATTAGTACTGACCTGGCTTTAGCTGACATCAAGTAGCCTTTTGACTTCCCTTCTCTGTTCTTCACGAGGTGCCTCAGGACCTAGCGTTTTGTTTTGTTTTTTGTTTGTTTGTGTGTTTCTGAGAGCTTAGGTGCTGGATCGCCTTATGCCTTGAGTTACCTTTGTTTATTCTTAGGTCCTAGGAAGCATAGAAGTTCCAGAATGCTACTTCAGGCCCATAAGTTCCAAGGGCTTGCAAAGTCGGCTTTAGTTGTGGATGTCATTTGTTTCAACTAAATACTGTAGCCTGAGGTGTCTTGGAGATGTGGAATTGAAAATAATTTTTGCTTTTTTGGAACCGCCTTTTTTTTTAAAATTTTGGCCAACTTAATTGACTCAGTTGTTTTGTGGGTGCTCAGGCCAGCCCAGAAATCTCAAGAAAATTAGGGACTGTTTGGTTGCTTTCCCCGAGTTTCAAGCACTAGGAGATTAGTGACTAGTGAGCGCTGATTTCATGTACAATTTCTAATAGGCCTAGTTCTGTCTTACTGTTCTAGAAGGCTGTTAAAGCTTAGGCATGAGATCTCAGGGTTAGTATTTTTCTGCCTTTCTGTTCCTGGTATGGCTTTGATGAACACTTAGGGCTTTCACCTGTAGATAAGTTTTCACTGCTGTCAAGACTGAAGAGCCTGAATGATAGGAAAAGTAGATCAGTACTTTGAAAGTTCTCGTCTTAGAGATTGTCTGGTTATCCTTTACTTTTGGATATGAGCGGCTTTTGTGTGCGTATGTGTTGGTCTGTCTTTAGAGAAAGGGTGATCCTTGCGCATTGTGTAGTGGCACTTTGGGGGTGCACGGTGAGTAAAATGAGAATTGGAGTTAACACAAAACCTGGCATGTATAGTATTGATCATATAGTGCTGTGATTTTATCCGGTCTCCTATTCATGCGAATGACCTGGAAAAAATATAAATATATATTTATATTACCCTTAGGTCTTCTGATTTCTTACCAAAACATGAATGACTTGTTCTAACATATTATTTCTCAAGTAGTTCCACGAACACCTTCCATCTAAAAATGGAAAATTTTTCCATTTACACACTCTAGAGTTTAATACATTTAAATTAGCTTTCATTTTGCATAATATGGTGTCTGGCGATGTCTTTTATGTAATCAGGTAAATTGGTAAGGAAATTCGGTGTGGCTCTTTCGTTAAGTTAGAATTAAATATTAACTTTAAAGGTGGTCAGGAATTGATGAGACGATCGTTGTTTGTAAACAGCTGACTTTTCTGGTTCCAAGATTATCAAAGGAAATGATGTATTATGCTCGGAATGTCCTATTAATGGTGGTGAAGTTTTTGATCTGGGAAGTATTCAAGTCTAATAAAGTATCTTTACCTAATATAACTCTTAATTATGGTCCAGTTACTCCCTAACAGTGTCTTTATCCTAATTAAAGAGAAAGAAGCTGGTGCCCCGATAGGGTAAAACATGCGCATTGAGACTAGGGTAATACTGAAACTCCAACTTTATGTGAGAAGGGTTAGTAGTAGTAATTAGTTTAATAATCTGATGCAGATTTTTGAATTGCATTAAAAAAAAATCCCTGTATCTGTCTCCTCTACTTCTCTTTTTAATTTAAACCTTTGGTAGATTTATGTACAATTACAATTTATATTCAATTTGATGTCATGGGGTAGATTCCAATAGAGATTAAGAATAATAGCGCACGGGTGGATCACGAGTCACGAGGTCAAGAGATCGAGACCATCCTGGTCAACATGGTGAAACCCCGTCTCTACTAAAAATACAAAAAAACTAGCTGGGCGTGGTGGCGCGTGCCTGTAATCCCAAATACTTAGGAGGCTGAGGCAGGAGAATTGCCTGAGCTCAGGAGGCGGAGGTTGCTGTGAGCCGAGATCGCGCCATTGCACTCCAGCCTGGGTAACAAGAGTGAAACTCCGTCTCAAAAAAAAAAAAAAAAAAAGAATAATAGCGCAGTGAATGTGTGCGCCTTTCCACTGCTATTTCCTTAGGAGGGGATGGGGCACCCTGTGACCTTTTGTCATCAGCGTTTCAGTAGAGGTCATGGGTAGCAGCTGACATTAGGGTTAAGGGGATATTTAAAAATCCTTTTTTCTGGGTTGAAATCTAATGCTTGCTTACTTAGTTTTTAAGGAAGTCAAAAATATTCATCATTTGGACAGACCTTTTGAAAAAACACACATATCTATGGTAATATTTATACTTTGGTAAATCTCTTAAACTGGGAGACAAAGGGAAATGATTGAGTCCAAATGTAGGTGAAAAGAATTAAGTCAACTAAGTGTCAACACATCAATTTTTTCTGGTTAAAAGAAAAGAAAAAGTAGGTAGGAACATCTACCTACTTTTTGTAATGGAAAACACTGTTGCCAATATTTAGGAATAATACTGTTTCTTCTGATACATATGAGTTTCTAGATTTGAAATAATTTCCAACCATTTTAAACTAAAGTAGCTCTATGAAACGCAAAATGCAATTTGTGAATGTTAGGCAAAGGAATAGGCATGTTTCAGTAATCTGAAAGTTTATTTGAGTTCAGATGTGAAAACATATTTTCTAAAATGAACGCTTTAAATCAGTTGACAAACTGACATATTTTGGGGGTCAATTTTACCTTCTTGATTGAATTTTTCTTTTCGGAACCAGCAGTCAAGATGCCTTACTTTCCTTTTGATCTCCAAGTTCCTGTATTGCCGATTAATTTAAATTGTCCACTTACTGTAATTTTGCCATTTACCCCTCTCTAACCAAGGTGTTGATCGAAGCCTTTCTAAACCTTTTGGCGTTTTATCAACTTACTTGCAATTTCTGAAGCATTAGAGCTTTATCACTTTTAGCTGTGACATGCACGCTTTCAACCCCTCCTATTTTCTCCAAGTGTTAATCTTTGTTTTTCTTTCCTTAATAGCAGTTCTTACAATCTCGTTTTTTATGTTCTATTCTTATATCGTTTAGGTGGAAAATTTTGCTGTCTGAAAGTCGGTGAATTCTGTGTATTTGTGTGCAGTATGTGCTTAACATCAGAAATCAGTTTACCTAGGAGTGACTTGCTACTTAACGTAAAGGTAGCTAGCAATTCTGGGAGCAAATCCTTTTTCTTTTGTGAAAGATGCAATTTAATACATTTTTAGAACTGTCTGTAAAAGGAAACATACCTAGAAAGCACTGATTTATTTTCAGTTCAGGACACTCCGGTGGCATAATGTGGTATATTACGTTATGGCATTAATCCAGAACTTCAGGGGGAAGATACAAAATTATATCTGGTACAATCAATTAACCCAGTAGTCCAAGAGATTTAAGGCTTATCACATGCACACTAGGCATCTAAACAGATGGCAGTGTCCATGAGAATGTACCTATTTCTGGCGACAGGGCAAACTTGTTTTCCCTGTTTTTCAAAATTCCGTAATAGTTTTTGTTTTGGTTGTTGCTTTTTAATGAGACCCTGGCTGAATCTTTTTGAGTAAGGTGGTTTTTTTCTTAGTTATCTTGCTTTACCCTCCTCACCTGGATGAATGTCTTTTATATAGTCAGCAACTATTCAATAAATGTTTGCATTTGTGAATAAATGAATGAGTGAATGAATATGTTAATATTCTTTGTTGATTTAGGAATTTTATCTCCGGCATAATAATTTTGTATTCTTTTTCAGAGTGTAAACTCTTAAAAGACAGTTAATACCTTTTAAACTGCATATTGCTTATTTATACCAGCATTAAATTTATAAAAACTTGGAATTTTTTCCCATTTTTTTGTAAGTGTGTCTTGTAAATAGAATTCATCCAACATAGATATGTATTACATAGAAAAGTTAAAATAATTTGTTGCTTTCTCTTCTGGCCTTGGAGATACTCATTAAGAATAGAGTTTTAGTAAAAACATTTTCTAAATGCTGTTTTGTGGTTTTGATTTTTGTTTGAGTAATAAGTTTAATTTTTTTTCTAAGTGCAAAGTAGTACTACTCAATTTTGGAGCAAGAAGGAATCTTAGATATACAGACTTTAAAAAATAATAATTTTTTATCTGCTGTGTGCCACATATTGTGTTGAGGGTATTTCCACAATAAAAAAAAATTCCCATAGTATGTGAACATCATCTTTGCCGCAGTATAGAATGCATGGAGTTGTTGGAAGAACCCTCTGAATTCATTTGTGGACCAAAAATGGCTTTCACAAAAGGGAAGAAAATAGTTTATTGCCATATATAGACATGCAATAGTTTTTTGAATGAACAAGGAAATTTTCAAATTCATGTAAGTGTTACTTGTAAAATACATGTTTTTTTAAACTAACAGGTACTTAAA